GACACATATAAATGGTTGTGTCCAGTGATGTGTCTACTGATGAAAAGACACACCTAATTCGAAAAGGCACTTCTATTTCTATAAATACCCCCTTGGGCTGCCATTTGCAATTCATTCAATTCAATTTTTTCTCTTTCACTTTCTAGACTTGAACCCAACCCAAGTGGGTTCAAATCATAAGTCAAGTGGTCCGAGCCACTTAGACCCTAATCCAATTTTATCAAACCATATTAAGATTGGTCCAAACCATTTGGTTCGGATTGCATCCAATTTAGCATTTATATAGTATAGATACATTTTTGAGTCAGGGAGAGTATTACACAAAGGAAGTTCACTGTATCCACGAGTTTATAGTGCTGCTACTGGTAGATGTAGACCGTTGTATCCTGAGAGATAGACATCACTGAGTCCGTTAGTACCATAATGGGCCGAATCTGTCTTGAGGACATAGTATCCAATACTAGCCTCGATCCAGGTTCTTTATTTAGTAATTATTATTTTATTACTTTAATTTGCATTTTAATTAAATATTTAGTTGAATATTTAATTATTTATTTTTTAGCATATTACTAATTACCTCATGACATATTAGTATAAGGCTAGTTATATATTAAGTGTCACATGAAGCATATATTTACCAACACATACAACCTCAAATTCTCTTTCTTCACCTAAACAGCTTTCACCTTCAACTTTTGAAGAGATTTTTTGAAGAACATCAAAAACATTCTTTTTCTTATGTGAATTCCTTTTAGCATAAATTTTTTTAGCTCTATTCCAATTATTTTGATTTCTACCATAAAACCTATTATGTGCTAAGGAATTATAAGTATGAAATTCAGAAAAATAATTATCCCTTCTTTTCTTATAGTAATAGTGTTGATTATGTCCAGTTCTACCACAATAAGAACAATAAAGCACCTTAAACATATTCTTAGCATGCATAGGCTCAACAAAAAGCTTAGGCTTAACAATGGGCACATTCAAATGTATGGGTTTAACAAAAACAGTTTGACCCTTTTTACTAGATGAAGGCTCATTAAAACTTAATCCAGTTTTATCACCTGCATGCTTACCAACACTAATCATCTTATAAAAGGTTAATCTTCCCAGAAGTAAAATCAATCAATTTTTCTTGTGACTTTTTCAATTCAAGTTCAAGAAAATTAAATTTGGCAACAAGAGATTCTCTAGCAGAATTATCTTGACTTACTTCACTCTCGAGAATTTTTACTTTACCTTGAAGATTTTGAATTTTAACTTTGTTCTCCTCAAGCAATTTCTATTTTTGTTTACTCCTTCTTCATGGTATCATTCTCCTTTTTCATCAGCTCTAGTTCCTCAGACTTCTTTTGACCAGCCTTTAACATTGCCTCAAAAATTTTAAACATATTGTTTTCACTTGGTTCTTCATCAATTTTCTTATCATTCGAATTATAAGAACTAACCTTGCTCAATGTCCTAAATTTGGTAGAATCTCCTACACAAAAAGAAGAATCATTAGGATTATCATTATCAACATGAGCAATAGAAGCATCTTTCTTATTTGTCTAACCTTTCAATTTAGAAGGATCTCCTTTAATACAATTTTTATTCTTTCTATTTTTAAGGAGTCTTTCATACCTTTTAGATAAACAAGAAAGTTCCTCATCAGAACTTAAACCATCAAAAACAAGATTCAATTTACCCTTATTCATAGGATTTTCCATCATGAATTTTTAAAAACAAAAATAATTTTATTTTTCAAAAAAAACTTTCCACACGGATCAACTCAATATGTAGAGGATTGCTCTGATACCAATTATGAGTTGTGCAGCGGAATAGAATGTGGAAATTTATATTTAAAATAACCTAGAAGGGTGGTGAATAGGTTTTACTTTCTCCTTTAATCAATTTTTACTTATGTTTAATTTTATTGAAATAAAACTAAAATCAAACCCACAAAGCAAAAAATAAATTGCAAGTAAAGTAAATAAAGTTTGAGAGATGTCACCAGGATTTTTAGTGAGGAAACCCCAATTAGCAGAGAAAAGTCCAATGGTTGTGGGAAAAACCTCATGGACGATACGGTCCATAGCAAAACGATCCATTATGTTTAAAGCAAAATACATTAAACTTTGACGTAGGCTTACACCCTGTCGTTCTACCAAAAATCAATCGCTGGCAATCCCTAACTTTGCGACTCCCCCGTCTAATAGCTCTCGACCTCAAGTATACTCTTGATCTCTGTAGAAGGATTCCTGGTAGATCAGACAACACTCCATGAATGCTTTAACCCCTTCAAAGTATGATCGCTTCACCCTTTTTTTTCAAATTTAAATTTGGTAAAGAATGAATGAATTCTGCTTTTCAGAATTTCTGAATCTTCAATTATGTTCCAATTCCGATAAGATCTACAACACTCCTAAATCACTCTTGTGTTTATGTGTTTGTGCTCTCAAAAATAAAATCAGATTGATTTTCTGAATAAAAATCTCTCCCAAACAATTCTCTCAATTAGAAAAATATATATTTTCAAGCCCTAAAAGTTTAAGTGAGGAAATATATATTTATAGACTTTTGATAACCTAATTGTACTTGAAAAACAAGTCAAATATGGTAAATTCTATGCACAATAGTAACCCAAAACAGATCAGGGAACTAAGTTACCAAAACTGTTTGCAGATCTGAACCGGTTCAAGTTGGCCAGTAGCAAATTCTTGCAAACCAACTTTGACACTTGAATTTGTTTCAAAAAACTTGAACCAGTTCAAACAGATTCAAGTTGGGCAGAATGTAAACTTCCCAAAAACTTAATATTGAACCTCCTAAGTGTCCTCACACACTCTCTTACCATTTTAAAGTGTTGCTCTCATTATCCTGGAGTGTATCGAATTATGAACATGATCACTTCTTCAATTCCTCTTTCGATCTTGATTCTTGACAAATCGAACTAAAAATTTACAACTCGATCGAACTTATTTTAACAACAAAATTTGCCAATTACAAATTTATATCTCACATAATATAACTAGACTTATGTTAAGCTGATATAGTAGTCTATATAACACAATACTTTTCTTTTAAAAAATTTGTGGCCAAATCCACAATTTGTGCATCTAATGCATTTTATAAATAACACATTTTACATGCCATAACTCGTCACTGTATATAACACGTTCTTAACAGAGTGCCAACACTATATATATAATGACACCACTCTCTGTTTGAAAGCCACTATTGTTCTATTGTTTTTAAGAAAATTCATTACTAAAGTAATTTTCCACACAATCTAAAATTTTGAAAAAAAAAAAACTCTAAAATTTGTGCATCTAATGCATTTTAGCTTCCATTTCCATAACTAATTAATATAAGGTTAATTTCACTGACACCCCCTCAAGTTTGCCCAAATATCACTCTGAAACAACTTTCGAAAATTACTATCATTTAGGTCCAATTTTACTTTTCCATCACTAACACCATTAAAAACGTGCAAAAAGACAAATCTACCCTTATTTTTAAAATTCATTTTAAGCTAAAAATATCAACAAATTTAAAAAGACATCATTGGCCCCAACAGTTTCTCTCTCTAAAATATATGTGTGTGTGTGTGTGTGTGTGTGTGTGTGTGTGTGTGTGTGTGTAGGTTCAATGGCCTTCCAGCAACAACGACGACGATGACGGTGGTGGTAGCGACGGTGACGGCGACGGAAGTAAACGTACATATATTTGATAGATCTGGCTTCAGTGATCCAAGCTTGCTTTTCCAAAACTGTCATTGTTCCGAAACCAACGCCATAATGGAAAAAGCGCGTCTTTATTCTCTCCATTCAATTCATCATGAAAATACAACAAACAGCAGTGTGGCACCAATAATGCTAATTCTTTCTGTCAACTATAAAAGACAAACTACATAAAAATCACCAGAGAAATTTGGAAAAAAGAATTTTCTTCTCCCAATGGACTGAGAGATTCAATAGATCAAGGAGGAGGTCAGGCCCAAATTTGGGACACCGCCGGCCAAGCGAATCTCTTGTCACGTTATGCTCACACTCCAAGGCCACGATCGGAGTGGAATTTTAGATGGCCGAGATTTGGGACAACGCCGGCCAAGCGATAGGCTCTGTTTGCTATGGTTTCAAATTTGTTAATGAATGGTCTCAATTTTTTCTTTTATTGAATTAGTTTGTGATTTAGTGGTTTGTGTACGAGAGAATTATTCAATTAGGTTTTTTTAAATTCACAATTTGGTTATTTGATCTCCACAATCTCCACCGTCGGCGTGGGTCAGGGTTTGCTGACAATATGAAGGGAAAAGAGAAATGTGCGTGAGAGATGAATGGTTTGATTTTTAAAATTACACATTTTTATGAGGTGGCAGATTTTAGTGGGGATAGTTTTGTACAATAGCTTTTCCATATATATATATATATATATATATATATATATATATATATAATTGTAAATTGAAAAGCATTTAGGGATAATTTAGTCTTTTAATCTAGTTTTGTAGGTCAAAGAATTATTTTGACAAAGTCAAAAGGTATTTTAGTTAATTTACATGGTGTCAGAGCTCTGCATGTGATGGTTGGGGTGTGAGTGAAAAACGGAACAAACATTTACAATATGGGTGATAGTAATTTTCGAAAGTTGTTTCAGATTAATATTTGGCCAAACCTGAAGGGGTGTCAATGAAATTAACCCATTAATATATTAAAGTACTAATTAATATAATAATTCAAACAATAAAGTTTAAGAATGTTATATTTTTTTTTTCTTTCTAAATGATGTTTTATTTAATTGCTTCATAAATATTTTGCAATTAGAATATAATTAAATAAATTCAAATGTGCTTATACACACATATAGACATATATTAGTAGCCATGTATCGATTAAAGAATATTTGAAAATCATAATGCAGCACATACACCAGCTTGCAAAGAAAAATTTCTGGATCCGCTGCTAACCCAAGGGTCTCTCTTACCTTCGATAAATTCATTACACCAACAACAACCATCATAATAATAACAACAATAATATTGCATTTGAGAACACAAACATTTTAATTCCAAGACATCTTATTCGATACTTTCAAACATAACTTAATAATAATTTGGCTCCAATTACATTATTCCATTTGGTGGCATATAATGGTTAAATGATGAATAGTGGCATTAATGGAAATTATCATCTTAATAATAATTTGGCTCCAATTACATTATTCCATTTGGTGGCATATAATGGTTAAATGATGTAATAGTGGCATTAATGGAAATTATCATCTGTCCTTGGGGAGATCTTGGCCAGACAAAAAAGAATGGATGATAGAGAGAGCCTCACTGGGCTTGTTGAAAGGTACCAAGTGACCAGCCCCTCTCACTGTCACATACCTCAGTCCTTCATACTCCACTGTCCTCCCTCCCACCTGCATTTCATTGAACATTATCAAGATGGTCCAGCCCATTGGAAAGTGAATATAGCCCAGTATACAATAGGCTTGGCCCGACTAATATAAATTTTGGCCGAAATGGATTGCCCTAATTCTACGGGTTAGGCCCACTACTGGGTGTCATGAAATATACTATTAGAGCGGTGATAGGAAATCCAGAGTCAGATAGATATGAGACACACAGGCGCGGTGCATCCCGTTCACAGTGATCTTCTTGATTCTGTCCGACCATTGGACTCTAAATTATTATTATTATACCAAATAATTAGTGAATTTTTTTAACAAAAAAGATTAGAAAAAAATTAGGCCGGGGAGGAAAAGGAAAAAAAAAAAAAAAAAAAAGGTAATGGAGGGAAATAAAATAGTGTGTTTGGTATAGTTTTTTTTAAAGGAAAATAAAGGAAATGGAGGGGTTCGGGATGATACAAATTAAACATGAAGTGTTGGTTTTGTAATCCTTCAAAAAAAATGGAAGGAAATAAAAGACTAACATTTTTAATGAAATTTTATTAATACTAAATTTACCCTTACTTTTATTAAAAACAAAATTTATAAAAGAGGGTATAATAATAAATTTATTTAAATAGTTTCTTTTAATTTCCTTTTCCAAATATGATTACTACAGCATTATTTTGTTTCTTTTATTTTACTAATGAACCAAACAAAATACAAGGTTAACAATGTCCTCTCATTTTTTTTTTTTTTCTTTTCTTTTCTTTTCTCTTTTAATTAATGTTTTTTTTTTTTTTTTTTTTTTTTAGTATACCAAACATAGCCAGAAAAGAAATGACTCGTATACCTGATGGTTGTGGTACCACGAATGCCATGGAGTTTTGAGAGGCAGTCCAAGAGCTTCAATGCAGTATCGTGACCCTATCACGGGCACTCTGCCATCAGTGTCCCCACTGTTCACAAGCATTACACAGAGTCATGAGACTATCAAACAAACAAATGCCATCACTGAACATGTTAGGTGTGTATGTGAAGACTCTGAATCAAAAGTTGAGAGACACGTGACATGTCCACTAATAAGGTCAACCTCTTTGCTTTCCTTTATTTGGCTTTTTGTTCACAGGCTGTCCAATTTGTCTCAAACTGGCTCAAATCATCGTCTTATTGCTCCCATACAAAGTTTTTGGTTTCTACTTTCAATAAAAAAAAATTATACATAATTTGAATTCGGAGAACTTGAATATTGAGTGAGTATGGATTCCATGACATGACATCACGTAATGGAAATCACACTTCAATATCCTCCGAATTCGGAGGATATATCATTGCTCGGTTTCAATATATTCAAAATAATTTAAAAATAAATTATGAAGTACCTGTATATCCAAATTCTGAGGCCACCTTTGATAAGTTTGGTGTAGATTGGTAGGACAGAAAATACAGTAAATTTGTAGAGTAGGGAATCACTGAAAACACAAAGCAATTAACTAATTAAACAGATTTAATGAAAACAAAATTAAATGCAAAACATAAATATAAATCTAAAAATGCATGGAAATTAAAGTACTACTTACTTGCAGACCTTCCATTCTACAGAAGAATTTGCTCCTCTAGTATTTGCATGGAGAGACGTTTGAACATCTACCTTATTGAAGTACTTTTCTGCATATGCAGAGAAACATGGCTCATAACCCCCAGGGATTCTCACCCTCTTCAAAACACTACTTCCTACCTGAAATTAAGTGTTTCCAGAGACATAATTAATTAGGGTTTATTTTGAACTTTTCTATAATAACAAAAATATATATATATATTCCAAGAAATTTTCAGAAAATTATAAATAAATAAAAGTTTTTGAACTATTTCCACTTAAGTTTATTCGATTTTGACCTTAAATTTTACAAAATGAGTGCTCTCAAACTCAAACACGCCTCGTCTTAATGTATGAATGCATATATACACGTGCATATTTTAATTTAGAAATAAAGAAAGAAAATCTGAGGAATTAAGTTGTTTTAGCAGAGATCATAAGACTCACCTTAGTGGAAGATACAAAACTCCCACTGCTTTGAGCTGATGAAGAAGTGGTGTTGAGTATACATTTGGGAGCATATATATTGTATATGTCAATCTCCTCGTATTTTTTAAAGACTCCATTCATGGAAACTATACATTCATTAGACCAATCTTCCACCTTGAAATTGCATACTTTTTTGGCTCTATCATAGTCCTCATTTGGAATTACTGAATGACTCCATGCATACTCTAGTATACCTTTATAATCATAGTAATCATCTGTCTCTGGATTTCCTACCTGCAATTCATTATGTTGTATAATTTAGTTAATTGGGTTGTTCAATTATGCATATAATTTACTTAATTTCCAATATGCAATATTAATATATATAGACAAAGTTAATGTAAGTAGCAAGAGTTCAATACACACACATATAGATATATGGAGCTTACTTACTATGAAGCCTTTGAGGTTAATGTATGGATATTTAGCTCTGTCCTTGTTTCTATCATACACAAGCTCTGCTAGTTGAGGCACATAGTGGCCTACAAAATACAAAAAAAAAAATCATTATTAAATATTAATTCACCCTTACCATATATAATTATATATTATATGTATAGAAAGATTGAGGCTATGCTATATTTATTAATTACCAGCATAACTCTCTCCTGATATGAAGAAATCATGGGTTTTGAACTGTGGGAATCTTTTCAGCCAATTCACCAGAAAATTGTAGGCATCCTCAGCTATATATATATAAATAACAAATAAGAAAAATAAAATGATTGCAATTTGTAATTTAAATATTAAATATAATTAATTGTTGAATTACCCACAAACCCATCATCCAATTCTGTGAGATCAGAGGATGTGTTGGTGTAGGAGAACCCAACTCCAACAGGAGATTCCACAAATAGCAAATTGGCTTCTGCAATTTAAGGAGAGATTCTAAAACTTTAATTACTGTGATTAGATATATAAGTAGATATATATATATATATATAATTAAGTAATTGACCTTTATTCCAAGAGTTTTTATTGAAGTCAAGCCCAACTCCATTTTTGTTGACTCTAAGAGGACCCAACTCCACAGCTGCACCATACCCAATTGATGAACATCCAGGCCCTTCAAGAAAACAAGCACAAAATTAAATCAGACCATACAATTAATGTGTACATATATATATATATATATATATATATATATATATATATATATATATACCTCCATTGAGCCAGAGGAGTAGGGGCATGTTGGACGGTTGAGATTGAGCTTCAAAGAACCAATAGAAAAGGGCCCTCCCATGAGCTTGATTGACTGTGATGTAGCCTGAGAAATGTGAGATCGGTGGACTTAATGGTTGGCCTGGTAGATTTATTATCCTATCTGATTCCAAGGCATTAAAGGTTGTAACAAAGGAACCAAGAAAAATAAATATACATAAGAAGAGAGAGAAAAATGAAGCTTTAGATTCATGACTTTGGAATGTTGAAGAGGCCATGTCTAGTTGATTCCCAAGTCTTGCATTCTTTTAAGTACTACAGTATAATTTATATGATGAGAATGATGGTGTCTTGGCCTCTTGGAGAGAGAGAATGAGAGAGGGAGAGTGGGGGCAGACGACTCTGACAATTAGTCGACTGGCGTGCAACGTACTCTCCTCTGTATGAAAGGACTAGAAGTCTACAAGTGGGATCCATTTCATTATCTTATCCCTTTTTTTTTTTCCCTAATTGACGGGTTTTTTAAATAATCATATTTTAATATCATTGTGAGTGAAAGCGTAATGTCACGATCCGATTCCTAACGACGCCATGAGCATAGAAGATACGCATGCTGGTTGGCTAAGAATATTTATTGACTGGGAATGGTTCCAGGGAAGGGGCGTGCAGGACCACAGGATGGTACCTCTTCAGAGTTCAGGCAGGTCGACTCGGTTCAGTTCGAGGTGCTTGTCGCTAGTCTTGGACTTGACTATGAAGAAGGGAGTTGGCCATCCCTGCACAAACTGGTCGGGAGCTGGAGCCGTTCCCCTGACGAGGCCATGGCAGGCCGAAACCAGTCAGCATGTATCCTTGGGAGGGCAGGTCGTGGTGGCTGAACAGGGCGCTTGCGCGAGCTGAAGCAACGCCTTGGTGCCGCACGGGCCGTACCGCTGCGCCAAATCTCTAGGCCCGTGACAAATGGTATCAGAGCAGGACTTGGGGAAAAGCACAGAGGTGTGCCCTCTTGTCGATCCGGGGGTCTTGAGAATGAAGACGGTGCACTGAAAAAGCGTCGGTGGGTAATCAATGCTGTTGGAGGAGAGCCTCCATCTCCCCATGAAGATGCGTCCTTTAAGCCGGAGGGCCGCGCGCATCGGATGGCCGGAGGGCCGCGCGCACCAAAGTTCTTGCAAGTTCAGGAGGCGTGCAAACCGTTGTGAAGGGCGGGTATCAAGTCAGCCGGAGGGCGCTTGTTTGCTCGGGGTGTCGCGGAGGCGGCATAACGTGGGGTTGCGTCCCGAAAAAGTGGGCGTCCCTTTAGCCCGAAACCCTATCATTGGGCGAGTGCAGCCAGGGGTTGTACAAGGAAGCGATGGTGGGCAGGCGAGCATACCACTTGGAGGAGACAGGCTTTGGAATGTTGGACGCAGCGGAGTCAGCGCCGCACTGCGACGAGGGCGTCGCAGGATTTGGGTGGGGGAGAATGTCACGATCCGATTCCTAACGACGCCATGAGCATAGAAGATACGCATGCTGGTTGGCTAAGAACATTTATTGACTGGGAATGGTTCCAGGGAAGGGGCGTGCAGGACCACAGGATGGTACCTCTTCAGAGTTCAGGCAGGTCGACTCGGTTCAGTTCGAGGTGCTTGTTGCTAATCTTGGACTTGACTATGAAGAAGGGAGTTGGCCATCCCTGCACAAACTGGTCGGGAGCTGGAGCCGTTCCCCTGACGAGGCCATGGCAGGCCGAAACCAGTCAGCATGTATCCTTGGGAGGGCAGGTCGTGGTGGCTGACCAGGGCGCTTGCGCGAGCTGAAGCAACGCCTTGGTGCCGCACGGGCCGTGCCGCTGCGCCAAATCTCTAGGCCCGTGACAGTAAGCTCCGTCACTAACGTCACGACATCTCCCAATCACAATGATTTTTTTGGGATGCATTTGACGTTCAAATTTCCTATCATTACTCTTTATTGGTTCCTAACAAACTCAGAACATATATGACTAAACATTTTAAAGTTTTATCAATGTACCAAGTAATAGCCTGGTATATAAAGCACATATAGTCATGTTCAACATCTTAAGTTATTGGTTGTATTTTCATACATCTTTGTGGTCACAAGCTAGATATATATATATATATATATATATATATATATATATATATATATATATATATTAGAAAAAGACACGTGCAATACACGTGGTGAATATACTGTAACTTATAAAATTTGTCTTTATATTGATTAATAAAAAATTATTTTATATTAATAAATAAATACTGAAATATTTTAAAATTGGTGATAGAATTTAAGTTTCGTAAATTAGTAAATTCTTTTATGTTTTTATATTAATACTAAAATATGTATATTTTATTTTTTCTTAAATAATAATTTTTTATTTTAATAGTGAAATATTTGAGTTTTCCAAAGTAACAAATTTTATTAGGTAATTTGTAATTTGAATTTTATTAGATAATTTGAAATTCAGTATAATTTTTAATTTACAATAGAAATTCAATTATATTAATGTGATAGAGTTATAGAAATTGTTTTATTTTCTTTAAATATATCCTTATTTAATTAGATTTTATTTTATTAGAAAACTCATAATAAATAGACAAATACAGGTTATATGTAATAGAGTTTTAAAGAAAATAAAATACTTAATTTGCGGTAAAGTTTTGCTAATTTGTGTTACAGTTTTATAAAAATTATTTAAATATATCCATATCTAATGTGATAGAGTTTCATTGCAAATAAAATAGGTAATTTGTGGTAGAATTTTATATAAATTATTTATTTTCTTTAAATATATATATTCTTGTCTAATTAGATTTTTTTTTATTAAAAAACTCATAATAAAAGATAATTTGTGATAGAGTTTTAGAAAAATAATTTTATTTTTTATAAAAATTATTAAATATTTTTTATATTAATAATTCTTGTCTAGTTATATTATATTTTATTAAAAAATTCATAATAAATACATAAAGAGGTAATTTTTATTAGAATTTTATAAAAACTCTTTTTAAAATATATTTTATTTTCTTTGAATATATCGTTGTCTAATTAGATTTCCTTCATAAAAAAACTCACAATAAATAGATAAAAACAAGTTATATGTGATAGAGTTTTAAAGAAAATAAAATAGATAATTTGTGGTAGAGTTTTATAGAAATTATTATATTTTCTGAAAATATATTTATAATAAATAAATAGGTAATTTGTACTACAGTTTAATAGAAATTCTTTAAAAAACACTTTTTATATCAATTAATAAATATTTTTTTATATTAATAATTCTTGTCTAATTATATTTTCTTTTATTAAAAAACTCATAATAAATAGATAAATAGGTAATTTGTGTTAGAGTTTTATAGAAACTCTTTTCAGACCTCTTTTTATATTAATTAATAAATATTTTTTTATCTTAATAATGCTTGTCTAATTAGATTTTCTTTTATTAAAAAAACTCATAATAAATAGATAAATAGGTAATTTGTGATATAGTTTTATAGAAACTCTTTTAAAAACTCTTTTTAGATCAATTAATAAATAATTATTTATATTAATAATACTTGTCTAATTAGATCTCCTTTTATCAAAAAACACTTAATAAATATATAAATAGAAAATTTGAGTTAAAATTTTATAGAAACTCTTTAAATATTATATCTTTGTCTATTGTGATAGAGTTTTATTGAAAATAAAATTTGTGATTTGTGATAAAGTTTTATAAAAATTATTTTATTTTCTTTAAATATATACTTGTTTAATTAGATTTAATTTTATTAAGAAACTCATAATAAAAGTTAATTATTTGTGGTAGAGTTTTAGAAAAATTATTTTATTTTATATATCAATTAATAAATATTTTTTATATTAATAATTCTAGTCTAATTAGATTTTCTTTTATTAAAAAATTCATAATAATAAAAAGATAAATAGATTAACTTAAATTTTATAAAATAGATTTCAGAATTTGATTGACATTTTTTTTTTTATATAACTCTTTGCATATCAATTAATAAATATATTTTTTTATATAAAAATAGATAGTTAAATACTGAAACTCTTTGCAAATGTAATAATACATAGATAAAAACTTTTTTTTATATCAGTTAATAAATATTTTTTTATATAAATAAATAAATACTTAAACACCTTGGCACTACTTCTGTATTTTACTCAAAAAATTAAGTTTTCTTTTATTAAAAAATTCATAATAATAAATAGGTTAATTTGAATTTTATTAGGTAGATTTTAGAGTTTTATAGAAGTTTTTTTTTCTATAAATACTCTTTTCATATCAATTAATAAATATTTTTTTATATAAATAAATAAATACTGAAATACTGAAACTCTTTCCACATTTAATAAATATTTTTTAAATAAATAAATAAATACTGAAACTTTAGATTTACTTTTATTAAAAAATTCATAATATATATATTTTTTTACCTAGTTAGGACTCACACACATTGTCTCAACTGATATTCGAACTTCTGAACTCCTTTTGGGAAGTAGGAGTCTTGTACCGCTAGGCCACAAGTCTATTGGTTAAAATAAAAAATTAAAAAAAAATTAAAAAAATAGGTAAAGAGGTTAATTTGAATTTTATTGGTAGATTTTAGAGTTTTATAGAGTTTTTTTTTTCTTTTATTTATTTATTTTTTTTTATAAAAACTCTTTTCATATCAATTAATAAATATTTTTTATATAAATAAATAAATACTTGAATACTGAAACTCTTTGCACATTTAATATTTTATTTTCTTTAAATATATCCTTGTCTAATTAAATTTAATTTTATTAACAAAACTCATAATAAAATTTAATTTGTAGTAGAGTTTTAGAAAAAAAAAAATTATTTTATATATCAATTAATAAGTATTTTATATATTAATAATTCTTGTCTAATTCAATTTTCTTTTATTAAAAAATTCATAATAATAAATAGATAAATAGGTTAATTTAAATTTTATTAGATAGATTTTGGAGTTTGATAGAGTTTTCTTTTTTTATTTTTATTTTTTTTAAATAATACTTTTCATATCAATTAATAATCATATTTTTTTTGTAAATAGATATTTAAATACTGAAACACTTTGCACATTTAATAGTAGTATAGATAAAATCTTTTTTTATATTAATTAATAAATATTTTTTTATATATAATTAAATAAATACTGAAACACTTTGGTAGAACTTCTGTATGTTACTCTGAAAATTAGATTTTCTTTTATTAAAAAATTGTAATTTGTAATACGTGTTAGAGTATTATAGAAAATATTTTTAAACTCTTTTTACATGAATTAATAAATATTTTTGTATTTTAATAATTCCTATCTAATTAGATTAGCTTTTATTATAAAAAAAAAAAAAAAAAAAAAACTCATAATAAAAGGTAATTTGTGATAGAGTTTTAGAAAAA